ATTATCTCCATTATATAATATGGAAAAAACCTTGTTTTTTTGCTATACGTATATGTAAAATTTTGATATCGAAATAATTTGATATGTACTCTCCTTCATTTGAGCAACGTTAAACAATAAATTTCCGGGGAATTATGGATTTCTATATTCCAAATAGTATAAAAGTTACAAAGTATTAAAACGTAAGAATAAATATGTTGGCAAGCATTCAAATTTTGTCAAAGCAATCGAATTAAATATTTGTTTTTTTTTTTGAATTTCTAATTTAGGCCAAATATTAGCAAAAAAAAATAATAGTTAAGATGGTCAAAAAAAAAAAAGATAAAAGTATAGAATTAAGTCAAACTCTCGTTTTTTTTTTAAAAAAAAAAAGATTACTAATAATAAACATTTAATTTATTTATTTATTTATTTATTTATTTTGCAAGATAAATTTTCGAAAAAGAAAAAAAAAGAAAATTTTTGCGATCATGTTTATTATATAAAGTTATTTAGAGAATTAATCAGTGTGATTTTAAATTCAGTTACGTAATGGATTGTTTTGCCAAGGTTAATTATGTTTTATTAAAAGTTTAGCACTATTTTATACAAAGTCATTTAGAGATTAATCAGTCTTACACAGTGATTTTCAATTCAGTTACGTAATGGATTGCTTGCGAGATGCCAAGGTTTATTAAAAGTTTAGCACCGTTTTTTTATTAATCTATTAAAATACCCGGCCCGCATTTTTAGCACAGGCCTCTAGTATAGATTCTATATGGTTTCACGAAGTGTAGGATAAGGCAAAAATTCTACCGTTAAGATTTCAAATGTTTGTAATTACGCAATACACAGATGCGCATATGATAAACTATATCAAAATAGACAACTTTGAGATTCTTTGGTAAGCCAATGGCATAACCGGTAAATAGGGCATGGTTTTTTTATATGTGACAAAGCCTTTTACCCGAAATGCCATCCTTTCTTAGTAATGAAAATTTTACTGTATTGTAACATCTTATAACCCGAAACTAAAGTGAAACGTCTCAAGATTCAGAGTAATAGGCTTAGACATCTTCAAAATAACGATATTACAAATAAACCAGTTTCATTATAATCCGGATACCTGTTTAACTTATCTAGATAGTTCGTATACACACGCATGACAGTATTGTTCTAAACATTATATTACAATTACATATATATTACTTCGGAATGATGATACATATTAACAATTAAATTCTTGATATTATATACTTATTGCAGAAATAAAAAATATTAAGGAACAGATCCCAGTAGTTTTATCACAATTTAGCTTTAACACTAAATTGTAAAGAGAGCATGATTTTTCACGTGGTCAAGGTGAACATTCTTTTATCTTCATCTTTATCACCTAGTGATTAATTTTTTTTGGATTCCAGTTAGCTTTATGCCATGTATAGATTATCATATCCAATCGGACTTTATAAACAACCGGGGAAATATTACGATTTAGGTATTTCACTCTAGCCACATCAAATTTGTGGCACTTTAATGATAAAGTACATTTATAAATATGGTTTATACATCATTATTCTAAGAAAAAAACGGACATATGTATGAATGTATGGTACTCTTTTAAAACATACTATTTGGAATCATAAAATCTTTTAAATCTTTTGAAATTACCTTAATGAATATCGATAAGCACAGAAAATTCTTAATTCAAAAGTTATGAAAAAGATTTACAGAACTGCGATTTTTTTTTTTTTTTGAGAATTTATGCTTACCCATTAGTAAATAGTGAGTAACATTACACTTGTTGTTTCAATACCATGGACAATTGGTAATTTATCTTACTCGCGGTACAGATATTCCATAACATCTCTTTTTGGTAAATTAGAATATGAGATTTACCAAAATTTCGGCTTTTCGTTTCGAATGTCATTTTCCCGAAAAAGTTGGATCGATTGGCACAAACTAATATCCGGTAATTTTTGGTGGAATTATGTCGTGAAAATGGCTTTCAAGGATTTAAGTTACATCGAATGTTAATGCTAAACTATAATGTGCAGGTATGACGACAGTTTCATCATAGTTACGTTAATCAGTATTACGTAATTCAATATTGTTCAGAATACTATGAAACAGGAACGTATAGATTAGATTTTTTATTTATGACAGAAAAATAAATGCTAACATCAGAATGGTAATCATTTTCAATAATCCTGTCAAATAGTATTTAAAACTATTTTTAGCCTCCAATAATATCATTGTATTAATACAGTCCAGCCACGTTGTCGATTTGAATCAATTTTGAGGCTGTGTTTACTGTCGATCTCGTTATAAATATATTCTTATATACAATTAGGCTTGTACATACATGCATACGGATGTACTGAGGCAATGAAACTAAATATTCACAGGTACAAACCTAACTTTATTTATCGCATCGTTTCTTTAAATAAAAGATCGAAAATAAAGATTGATGTGAAAGGAAATACTGACACGCAAATAAATATATCTTTTTTTGATCTTACTATGTACATATATTTTCAACTACATTGTACATAGCCACGAGGTTTAAAAGTTATTTATATTTTTTCAAGTATTTCTACATCGCTCTCAACACGTCACATCCTGTGAAACTAATAAAATTATATACAGTTTAAATTTTAAAGATATTAATTAATTCAAGAATGGTTTATATGTATAGTGATGTGATTTGTTATGCGTAGAATTCTGCTAGATTAGTAAAAAAAACAAATAAACAGGGAATAACTAGAGTAACTAAAGCTTGCATTTAAAGAAATTTTGCCGCACTTTGTGAATGTGTATTTAAAGCATTAAACGTTTCAGATATTTTTTTTTTGAATTTATAATATCAGGAATTTCGGTAATGGTAGGTAAGATGAATTTTTTGTAACATTTTCGTAACCTTGTGATCTTAACGCGTAATCTTATAAGGACAGTGTTTAAAATATATATTGTATGCGGAAACGGGATTCGGAATTTTTATATAAACCAGCATTTTGGGGTTGATTTTATCATATGAACACCCTTACCCTAACCCTAGTCTAACTAGGAATTTCCTACTTACAACAATATATGTATATAGGATTTTAAATTTTTAGGTTCTCGAATATTTTATTTTCTTGAGAACATATTCATCTAATATGGCATTCTTGTGAGTTTCTTGAATGAAGCAATTTTGGTAGATATTATAGTTGAATTTACAGTAAAAAAATTTAATTATTTGCATATATGCGTCTCTGTTTAAGACCAGTTCAAATTTGGATTTTAATCAAACTTTCTTACTAACTCTAAATCATTTTATGAATATAGTCAATGTATGCTTTTCTAAGTATAATTCATTCTTTAAATGCATAATATCTGCGTATATACAGTATTTTTGTTACCTATCTGAATGCTCTTTCTTTGTCTTTTTCTTTAGTAATTATCCTTTCTTTTTTTTAATGTAATCAAACTATGATAAATAAAGGTTTATTAAATAATAAATTGTTAAAACATATTTTTGATTTATCTCTGTAAATGCATACTTTGTTTCATTTATTGTCCGAGAAGTATGTACCTAATAATGTATTTAGTAGTTCTTAACCTTTTAGAAAACGGAAAAAAATATTATAAAAGAAGCAATAAAATGTGATAAATTTTATAATAGTAAATCATCATCATATAGTTTACTAATATAAGGTAATTGCTACTGGATGAAGAAACCTGTAACTCCTAATTATGGAAGTTTCGTATCAGAAATAAAATATGTACTGCGCAATAAGGCAATAAAGTTAGTTTCAGAAGCCAAGAACATCATTCTCATCTAAAAATAGAATTAACTAAACTATAATGAATACACCCATTGTCCAATTAAGTCATTACTTATGTCAAGTCTTGGCATACGTATATAAAATATTTCTTGGCATGTAGGTATCTTGAATACTAGAAGTTTAAGACGGTAGTTTCGATAAATTTTTATTTTTTTTTAAAACGATATTGTTTGATGTTGAGGGATGGAAGGTGTTAATTGTGTAACTGCTTTACCATGCGGATAATACTTTGTTATCATTGTTTTTTTTCTTTTTAAAAACCATCACACCGCACCTTCCTTCGGTTATGCGAATATATGCATGCATGAATATAATTAACATGCATACCGATTTGGAAAAATAATACTTAACTCATATCCGTTGACATCTTTGTTCATCTCTCTATTTTTGATATCGGGAAGGCTTAGAAACGTTCTTGTTCTGATGCAAAATAAAACCATTTTTTATTTATAAAGTAAATAATAATAATTGATGTTTCCTTTTACTATATTGTTAGATTGTAGGACAAAAATATTAATATAAACGTTTTAAATTTAGCTGATCTACTCACACACATACATATGTACATATGTGTAAGAACTCGAGTACTGTGTGCAATTGTTTTTTATAAATATATAAATATAAATAAATAAATAAATAAATATATATATAATATATATATAATATATATATATATATACATTTTATCTGATTCATTTTGTGTAATTAATATACTAAAAATTCTTTTTTTCTCACATAAAATATTATAAACTGCGTCGGCTGGTATTGTGTAGCAACTTTTTATTAGCGCTCTATATTTGTTAAAAAGTTGAACCGCCCATTGACGTTCGAAATTATTAATTAATTATTAGTTTAAAAACACAATCTAATACATTTATATAATACTTACGTATATTCGTGACGATCAAGAGTTGTGATATTAAAAAGTTAACGGAACGTTTAACGTTAGTACAATTTAATGGTCTATTTAGTTGTATTACATTTATCCATCGAGTAACGTCAGAAAAAAAAAAATAGTATAAAATTTCAGCTTTTCTTTCTTCCTTTCTTTTTTTTTGTTTTCAATTTGTTTAAATGAGATTGTAAAGTCGTCGTCTTATTTAAAAAAAAATATATATATAATATAAATATATATATATATTTAATTTTTTATTTTTTATTTTTTATTTTCAGTTTGGCAAATACTTTTGTTTAAAAATGGGGCATACACAATCTAGTGGAGGTGTCCAATCTTTGGATAAATCACTATTATCTGAACCTAAAATTCAAGATAACCATAAATCTAATAAAAATCTAATAATATATAATAACATACCCACTTCATCCTATAACTCCAGAGAAAAATTTTTGACCTCAAAATCGAATTTCCGTTCATCCTTGCCTCCATTAACCAAATCTCCCGCGGCGGAAGGAAATGATACCGAGGGGTCCCAAAAACATAAGTTCAATTCAGAACAACAAAATACAAATGATTACTTTTTATATAATACATCAGAAGGAAAGGGGAAGTCCACCAATTTCATTCCAGACCAACCTCGAACACCATCTTCTGTTACTTCTCACGATGATTGCGATTCTTCAGGATCAAGTAACGGCAGTCATTCAAGATCTCATTCATCAGATAATAACTATCTCTCTAAAAAGGATGCAAGATATTATCGGTCATTATCTTTACCAGCCAGTCCTTTTGAATATTCTCGTCGTCAATCCTCTTATCTTTCTCATTGCTCTTTGTATTCGGAAACTCGTCATGAACCTTTAAAGTGGAAAAAGAGACTTGACGCTCAAAGACGACCTTCTTTAAGAATACAAAATAACTCTTCTCCAGTTTCCGAACCAAACAATATACCTTATTCTTATAAAGAAGCAATGGATAAAATATGTGGCGAAAAAAATTTTCTCACCACTTATCAAGAATCTGAATCATCCTTTCGTCGATCTGACGATGACTTTTGCAATTCTACACCAAATACTTCAGTTACTGCTTTAAGCAGTGTTAATGACGAAATCACAGAAGAAATTTCATCATTAAACCCAAATCTTCTTTTTGGATCTGAAGCTCTTTGTTCCTTACCGGAAGCTCACGTGTTATACCTAATTCAACAAGATGATGTTGGTGACCATTCTGAAGTTGATATTTGGAAAAACCTCATCGAATGGGGTAAAAGAAATACTCCAAAAGTAATTTTTGAAAAGGATATTAATAAATGGACTCAAAAAGAATTTGAATCACTTGCAAGAACATTACGTAATTGCATTTATTGGATTCGATTCTCACAAATGACTCCGATTGAATTTCAAACTTATGTCATACCATACCGATCTATTATCCCTAAATATATTCTTGGAGACTTTTTACGCCAAAAAATAACAGATCATCCACCAGTTTTACGTGCAGTAGCACCTCCAAGAATTCCAACAACACTGATAGAATCTGAAATTATCACGGGTCGACACGCGTCAATTTTGAGTTACTGGATTAAGAACCAATCTTACGAATCTGTAGAAGGAAAACCCTCACACAGGTTCAACCTTCTTTACCGAGCAAGTAGAGATGGAGGTACATCAAAAGATTTCCATTTACATTGCGATAATCAAGGCCCGACTATTTTAGTCGTAAAACTTTCTGATCATAACATGTTCATTGGTGGATATAACGCAATGAGTTATAAAGATTCAAGACGTTCTAGTATTTCATTATCTAAAAGACAATCAATGAACAAAAAAATGGAAGAACTTGCACAACAAAGTTGTTTCATTTATTCTTTTGAAAACACTTATTACCCTGAACAAACCGCAATTGTCAGTAGAGTAATTCCAGAATTTAAAAAAGATGCAATAATAAGGCACCAATGGGGTGGGCCATGTTTTGGACAAGGGGACCTATTGGTTTGTCCTGACAGGAAAAATAAAGTTCTACAGATTCACCCAGAATCATATGAACTTCCTATAATAAACTCTAATAGTAAGAATTTTAAATGGGACGACTTTGAAGTATTTCAGGTTATTGATCAATGAACATTTGTCTTGAACATTTGTCTTGTATGACTCCGTTTAATTAAAAAAACAAAAAAAACACTACAACTATTACTACTTAGACTTATTTTATTATAAAAATTAAATTTTAGCATTTCCTTTTTTTAATTTTTTATGCCTTGAATTATTGTCAACCAAAGTTCTTGTATATATTGAGATTTATCTTTTTAAATACAATACAATTGTAAGGGACTTTTTTTTTTTTCTTTTATTATAATTTCTTTGTTTACCGGGGGAGTTTTTTTCTTTACCTTTTTTTTTTTTTTGCTCTTTTTTTTTTTTTTTTATATAGCGAATAATTAAAATACCAATATAAAAAAAATAAAATAAAAAAAATTGATTCAATAAAAAAAAAATAAAAATAAAAAAAAATTTGATTCAATAAAAAAAGATGTATGTTAATCAGTTACTATGTATGTATTAAACGAACACAAAAAATAAGACTCCACGTATCGAGTTTTCCATAAACATCATTTTTGAATGCACCGTTTTTTTTTTTTATTGCTGATTTGATGATGAAAATTGATTGCTTGTTACATAAAGCAAATAATATATACTAATTCCATTGTTAGGTAAAATTATCGGTAATATGTAAAAGATGTTCATTAATACTAAAATTAATGAATATCGATATTTAATATCTGTCAATTAGAGTTTTTTTTAGATTGTCAAAAATTAAATTGGTAATTTCTCGCGATATAAACCTGATATACTATATCTCGTATCGTGTAAGACACGTGAGGATACTTAATCGATAGAATCTTCTTGACTGAATGATCTATTTTCGCGAGATGTAACGCAAGCTCAAATTGTGAAATTGTAAAATTGTAAAATTGTATACATAAAAAAAATTAACGCCCAGAACACATGCATGTATGAATGCTACATGCGTAGTTTATTTTTAACTTCATTTGACGTTATAATCATTGAAATAATAATTGTAACAATATGTAGAGTCAAGCACGAATTGTCTTTGAGATTATAGGATTTATAATCATTTAATTTCTTAGGTGTTACTATTAATACATAAGGGATGTCTTTTATGTTCAATGCGATCATAAGGGGAAGGAACCTGGTGCGACCAGAAGAAAACCTGGTAAAAAAAAAAAAGATGAAAGACCAAACCTTGTACTTTAAAATATCACTTTAGGGTTCACAATAACCTAATTTCATTGTATTGAACCATGATCTTATTTGATTTCATTCTGCAGATAGATTGTACATCTGCATCCAGTTTGAAATTCCTCCATTCAGACATTAACACAACATCACGTACACTTTACAACACAAAAACTACTACGCCATTCAAGTGTATTAATAATAATAAATGACATTTCAAATATATAATTTTCACGGATTAGTAATTCCTAATCCTTATAAGAAACGAGATTCTGAAGATCGGACGTATATCAAAGGAGAAAACCGAAACTAACAAAGAATATATTCATAAAACTAATCTAATTCACTTCTAACATGGAAGATTTAAGTTTAAAATAAATGTGGCGAAGCAGAACGGCATTAGTTTATATACTAAACACTTTTTTTTCTTACATGTGTCAAATAAAAGCCAAAATAATGATATGTAATGCTAATTCGTCATCTTGCATATAAAGAAAAAAGCTATGCTTTTTGAATGGATAGTCACAAATCTAATCCTTAACCTTTTTTAGTTTTAAAATTGAATAACGATAAATAACGATAAATTCAGATGCTTGTGATATGGATTTGCAAATAAGGGGGATATTACTTAATTTAGTCGAAACTATGTTAAAGAGTTATTCTCATCTCAATGATATATTTTTATTGTGTACGTACCTTTTTATAATTTTGATTATCGAAAAATATCAGTAGAGTAAGAATACGAAAGATTAAAGATGCAGTAGAACTGTTATGGCTTATCCGTAATTTGTAATAATTTAAAGTTTATATTATAACTAGGCAGTTTATACCGATATAATTGAAGCCGTTCATTTACAGTTGACCTATAAACGTATATTATTTACCCATTTATAATATCTATTCTCTCGATTGGATACCTTTAGATACCTTGGATATATATGTGCTAACGTTGAAATATCTTTGATTTCTTTCTAAGATATCGTCAAACACAAATTATTTCTCTTGGAATTATAACTTGGAATAAGAAAACGTGCGTACATGCAATATGATAAACTAATATCTAATGTGTCGCTGTGTATTGATTGCTACAACGCGTTCACCAATTGATACTAACTATTGTCCGATATTATTATTCGTTTTGATAGATAAATAATGATAAAATGATTATTGGCGATTAATGTTAAACATGCATATATGCATATATATGCATATACAGTATATATAGATGCATATATATAGATGCATCATATATGCATTATATATATATGTGTATCTATATCGATATAAGTTAATCACTCCTAATCTAATCATCAAACTTTCGTGGTTAAAAACTTTATAGTATATTGTAACTCAAAATTTTTTCGAATGACACTGACAGTGAAAACAGAATAATACTTCTAAAAATAGATTCGTAATGCAACATTTGCATTAACCTTAAATTAATTTGTTGTTTGTCTGACAATAACGATAATGGTTATATGAGTTTAAAAAACAAATTGTTTTTTTTTTATATATAAACTAAGATTAAATCCCACTGTGACTTCTGTGATATCTGTGATATGAAATTATTTGAAGATATTTGAGCCGCGTGATGATTTTGTGTTAATCTATAAATGAAAAATTTCCTTAATAAGTATAAAATTTTTGACTAATAGAGAAATTGTTTGATATTAATTAATAAATATTCTACGTAATGAAATACGATGAATATATTTTGTTAATATTTGACGAGATGATTTTTATCAGGTGATATTTATATTCAGAAAAACCTCTGATTTAATTAAATCAATAAAAATCATTTTTATACTATCCTTACATTGATATAGTATGTTTCTACAAATGTAGGGTGCTATGTTTTATACGGTTTAACATCGTATTCGGCAAAACCATAACTCCGGTTAGAATCACTTTTTTTTTTTTAGTAATCAACATGATTAAAGATTTTCCAGATCCTTCATATTAATAACGATAGTATTTAACAAAATTACCCTTTTTCATTCAATGTTACAAATAATAATATAGAGTTATTGGATGTTACGCAGCCAATAACAGGAGTTATTCGGCCAGAAATAACGCATATTTAATTCGCTGCACAGATAGACAAGTTATTGGCTGCGTAGCATCCAATAACAGTATTATCTGGGTAGTTACGACGATCGAAAAGCAGAATGACTCAAGTTATTTTAATTATGATTGTGTCATCATTAAAATAACAAAGTTATTTCAAATTATTCTGTTCGATCATAGTAGCCGCCAAATAATATATCAGATATCTTTTTTTTTTTTTACGGGCCGTACGAAATTTGTAAAGTGCACACATACGTACGTACTACATTAGCGCCCATATGTGCTCACCAAAGTCTCGCATAGATGTTCAAGTAACAAAGTAGGTAGGCGTAGCGGTAGAATCCTAAATAATAAATAAATTTAAAATCCTTGCATCAAGACAAAGACACAGAAATATTAAAGAAAGAAAACTGTCTAAATTCCAAAGATCTCACCTATGTACCACATGTACAAGTACGTACATATATCATATAGAATATAATATAGAATAATAATAATTAAGATATTTCGTTCTTTCTTTTCATTAAGTGAATTTAATTCAAGAGAAAGCAATAAATACTTGCATTTATTCAACCTAGCGCATTTAGTTAACCACATTGCGCTTTATTATGCAAAGTTCACTACACATACAGTAACTTATTTAAATAATACTGCATGTATTTATTATTAATAAGAAAAACTTTAGACCTAACTAAAAAAATTTACATAATAAACATTATTGTATCCGCCCAATTTGTGATAAAATGAGATAGGTTGTATTTTATCAATATTTTGCTTATAGAGAGTTAACAAACCAAAATATAAATAAAGTAATCTAAATTAAATTAATGTGTATACAAGTCAATTGTATACAAAAAAATGTATGAATAATTGTATACAACCAATTTGTATGAGTTAATTGTGTAAATCAAATTTTTCTCTCGTATAAAACCATGCCCAAATAGTGAATCTGTGTCCAGTTTGATGATCTTCTATCAAATATCTAACCGATTTGTAACGAACCTTTTACTAAATTTAATGAAATTTGTGGAGTTTAAATAAATATTTTTTTTTATCAAATAAGTTAGGTGATTGATTAAGGTTATCGAAATATCTTTGCCCAAAATTTTAAAATGTTCGTTTGATATGATGTATGAATACTAAACAGAGGTACGGATTATGTATTTATCATTACACGTAGAAAATCATCAAGACAGAGTACGAGTTCATTATTTGCATTTTGTACACGTTAACCAGGGTTCGTACTCTGAAAATTTGAAAGTCTAGAATCTTTAGAATCTTTATCTAAGCTTAATCCTAATGCACCCTATCTCATATATTAAATCGTAACAAACTATTCCTGATTTACGTTCTTTAAATATTTTTTCATTGAGTTTTTTAGCTTCGCGTTTATTTATCTAGTAAATCTAGTAAATCATTTGCAAATCTTTAGTCAAGTGATTTACAACGAAATTTCTCAAAAGTTTTCTATATTAAAAGAATTTTGTTGTTAGAACGCAGAAAGTCGCTTCGATTCAATGTTATACTGCAAAAAGTCGCTTCGATTCAATGCTATACTACAAAAAGTCACTTCAATTAAATGTTATACTACAAAAAGTCACTTCAATTAAATGTTATACTTGACCCTATATCCTGACAGAATAATGACGCATCGCACTAACAATGAATTACAGAATTATAGCCTTATACATATCATATTTTATTACAGAGACTGGTCTTCAATTTACCGGCCAAACATTACTTTTTCCCCCGAGACTTTAGCACAAACTATACCTTTATCTCATATTGAAAATTCT